CATAGTGCCTCAAAACAAAACACCAAGGCTTTAAATTGGCTAAGAAAATTATGTGACTCATTATGCCCGATAATAAAGCTCAACGGCAGATGCTTTATTAATGCACTGCATGAATAGATGAACCCTGGAAGAGATGCCAGTATCCTTGATTCTGTTTGTGTGTCACATCGTGAATCAGAGCGCAGCTTACAGTATATTTAAAAGACTAAGAAGCCCTTCTGCTGTTGCTCTTTTTATGCATCAGTATTTTGCCAATGAAACAAAGTACTAATATAATATAATATAATATAATATAATATAATATAATATAATATATTCATGTATATTCTGCTTAGCCTTAAGAGGGTCACAGGCGTCTGGAGCCACTCCCAGCTGACATTCGGCAAGAGGCAAGGATCTATGAACCAAAAACCACAGACAGACAGACAGACGGTGGAGAAAACTTTTTCTTTATGAATATCAAAAATAAAAGTTATTTTTTAAATCTCAGGATAAATATCCACCAATAGTGTTAGGGTTAAGTAAGCGGTCCGCTGTATATGCAGACTGAGGAAGGAAGCAAAGAAAGAAAGAAAGACAGAAAGAAAAAGAAGCTGATACTTCCACAAGCTGACCGACCAAGGTGAACGAGCAACATGTCGAATTCACCCCAGGGTCTCAAATGCAGAAATGGGAAATCCAGGTCCAGAAAGTAAAAAACCTGCAGTCTGCCTCAGTTTTGCTTCAGCCACAGGTGCTTCTACTCAACCGGAAGGTAAACCAGCTTGTTTTCATCTCTGCTCAAATGGAACTAATGCCATAAAACACACACTTGATCACTTAAGACATCCAAAGGGGTCTTCCCTGCTCTTTGGAGAGAAGCAGACATTATTGCGGTGAACCTGTTGCAGAAGTAATAGCGGTAAAAGCAACAGAAACATTTTCCCTGATGAGTCATCTTGGCAGGTGAAGGAGAGAAGAAATAAGTTCCTGCAAGGAAAAATTTAATGCTAGCACTGACGGGTTTGTCGCCAAACGGTCTCAGCTTCATTGCTTTTGGTCTGCAGACAACTTGTACCGGCAACCTTCATCACCACACTGAATAAGACCACCACGGAAGCCTCCCGGTAATCTTGTTAGGGCCAATCACAACCATGCCATATTTACAAAAGCATTGCATGGCAATCTGTCATTTTTCTCTCTTTCCTGCCAGGTCTTTGTACCGGCCCACGCGCATGCCCTGTTGTGGTACTGCAGAGATCTGAGATGTTGATACAGTACTAAAAAGTCCAACTGCCAAAATTGACCAAAGTTACAAAACCTAAAACTGAAGAACAGAAATGCGGTATTTCAACACATTCTGCAAGTACTCTGATTGAATATGCAGTTTGAAATGTGATAACTTTTTATTTGTATAACATTTTATCACCAACAGAAAAAGTATGTTTCACTACAGTAGAACTCCTCTACAACGAAGTCATGTTTGCAGCCAGAAAGTTTTCACAACAGGGGACTTTTCACTCTAGCAAGTTTTCACAACAGGGGACTTTTCACTCAAATTTGATCTCAGATGTAAACACACACACACACACACACACACACACACACACACACACACACACACACACACACACACACACACACACAAAACGTATATGTGTACACTTTATTTTTATTCCAATAGTGCATAAGTATGAGCATACACTTATCTGACACTTCATATAGCCAGTGTAGAAAGAAAAAAACGGGAAAGAAATAGCGAAATTTACGATTGTAGAGGGGTTTCACTGTATCTGGACTTTTAGGGGTGCTTTTTTTGTTTGTTTGTTTTTTAAAGTATTTAACTAGAATATTTGTCGTATTATGTATATTTTGTAGATTTCAAGTTTTTGTCGTGGTATTGTTTCCTTTTTTTTGCCTTCTGTTAAAGTTACAGTATATAAAATAACTGACCTGTTTTGTCAGTTCTTGTTATAGTAAAATATTTTGCAAATATATATCTTCGGTCACTGTCAATCTTTACAGCATATGAAACTACGGTATGCAAATTGAGACGACTATACATGAGCAAAGATGTCATGCTGTACCGCCCCAAAAAGGGTGCAACCCAGTCTGTGCTGCTTCAGTTGGCCGCACCAGTGTGACCAGTGCAAAAATGAGTGTAGAACCCTGTGACGTTCGGGTCAGAAATGAAAATCTGCAATAGTGTGAATCAGCAATAACCGAACCACGAAGTAGAAAGGGAACACGGCGTGTTATATATGCTGTATAATTTATAGCGCTGTAACCGCTATGGCAACATAGCAGGCAATCTGGATGAATAACTTTCACTGACAGTATTTATGTTATCTTCGGGTGAATAACAACTCTGATGTGATGGACATGTCAAGTAAACGACTCACTTGTGTCTGCAGCTACTCCCAGTTCCTCAAAGCTCTTCACTCGAACACATATGAACACCAACTTGATAACAACAATTAAGCAATTGCCCCGCACTTTAGGATGTACCTTAGGGAGAGAGAAATGTGAAAAGAGAATGAGTGGAGACATACAGATTGAAGAAAATAGAAGTGGTGCGAGGAGTTGGATGAAGAGTAGAAAAGGGAGGAACGGGGGGGTAAGCGGTGGAAAAGAGAGCGTCTAGACAGCATTCATGATCCATCTGTCTGCCACTGCCACAGAAACAGCCAGAGGCTACAACAAGATGGCCAACTCCATCATGACAGAAGCAGTTTCAACCTCTCTTATCCTTTTCCTTTCTTTTACATCCTCATTTTCTTTTCTTCTTTCTCAGTCTACTGATTTCTCACTTTTCTAATCCCATGCCACTCTTCATAGTGCTCCCATCCTTTTTTTAATCTCTCCTTCTCTCCCTCCAGCACTCAGCTCTCTCTCTCTCTCTCTCTCTCTCTCTCTCTCTCTCCCTCTCCATCTCTCTCTCTCTATATTTATATAAAAAATCTCTCTCTCTCTCCCCCGCCCTCGCTCACCTCTCTCTCTCTCTCTCTCTCTCTCTCTCTCTCTCTCTCTCTCTCTCTCTCTCTCTCTCACAACCTCTCTCAACCTCTCTGGCGACACCAGAAAATTACGACGATTGTACTCTTTTCCCATAATGTTGGCTGTAGGCAATTCCAGACAGCTAAGTATTTTAAGTACCCAGCACAGGATTTTATTTAGTCGAAATGAAATGGAGTCCCCTCAACAGTCAACCTGCAATAGAGAGAATAGTAAAAAGGATATAAGTAGCGTGCAGAGAGATGAAGGGTAGTGAGAACGACAAGAAAGTGAATGTACAAATGAGTAGATTGAAGGGTTCGCGGTGAAACTCAAATGTGGTCGGGTGGTGGGCAGCCAATGAGCGAGGAAATGATGAGAGGAAGCTGAAGAACTTGCCGGACATTTACACACCGATCTGGTGCCAAGGATGAAAGTGCTGCTGTTAAAAAGTTTTCCTCCTCCTCCTAAAAGTTGTTGAGCGGGAACGGTGCAGCACATCAAAGTAAGCTGGCAGACAGCCACTGCGCTCCAATGGCGTCCTTCAGCCTCTCTCCCTCCAATCTCACTCTCTGTGTCTCCTTCTCTCCATTTCCATTGATTGTGGTGAGTCGAGGGACCACTCTCATCTCCCGCCTCTGACAGAGGTGCTCAGTAAGAAAAGTGGTGGTAGCTGGGGGGGCTCATGAAAGCGGCACAGAGGTTCAAACAAAAACAGGACTGAAACTGAAAGCTTGGAAATCTTTGATGGAACATGTGTCAGACTAATATCAAAGAGTCTTTAATTCAAAGAGCAATTATTTTTACCCTCCGGCACCTGCAGCTACGTTTACCTGCTGTTGTTACGGGAGTGCCCGTTGTTAGAGCTTTACAAATCGATCCATAAAACGGGATGGAAAGCTTTTTTTAGTTTTTTTTCCATTGGGAAATGTTGAATGTGAAGTTATGCACTGTCATTATAGCTATTTTAGGGTTACAGCAACATTCGTTTTTGTCCAACTTGTGGAAATAAGTTTACACCACTCTTGGAAAAGCAGCCACAATACCGTCAAGGCATTCCAGTAAGTAGCAAAAAGGAGTCCGTTTTTCCTTTTTAAAGAACCGAGTATTTTTATTATGTTTATCTGCCATCTTATTATGTTTATTCTCTTGCATAATGCTGCTAGCTATGGCAATAATCCAACTGACATTATCAGGAGTACCATCAGCCATAAAACACTGATGACTGTCGCATTTGAGGGGAAATCACTGACATGCCACTAATCTTTTCATAGCCACTGGAGTGGAGAATTCCTTGAGCAAGGATGTGGAAGATCAGTACCAAAAATATGGAGCGGGAGCTCTCGCTGGGGTTCAAGAATTTTTGCTTCCATACCTTTGGGATGAACTATGACAGAGATTGGGAATCGGGCTCTCAAGTCTATCATCGGGGACCTTGACCTAATAAATGCTTTTCCAGATTCAGAAATGTCCATGCCACTCTAAGATGTGACAAATACTTTCCATAAGACTTTGATGCAACGGTTGATTCAAAAGGATACTCATTGCATATTTCTTTCTATTCACAGTTCCTTGACATGCACTGATAGTCCCTTTATTGTATTGCATCATGATGAACCAGTTCACTTGCATATTAAGTTCTAGGATTTTGCATGAAACAAATCTTGAATGGATGTAAACTGCGCACAAAAAAAAAAACTTTAAGCAAACAGCATGCAGTTTTCGCCATGCCTCGTCCCATCTGACTGCGCAACCAGGAAGTACAGTAAACCCTCACCAAGTTGCAAGTCACCATTTACAAATGTTTCTGCAGAACATAAACTATTTGTTGGAAAAACATTCCCGTTCAAACCTATATGCCTTGTTTTTTAACTCTTTCTGTAATGAGCCACACCTTTTCATAAGAAGTCACTACGTTTCACAAGTAAAAACCTCATTAAAAGACGACTAAACATCCCCCAGAGAGCAGTAGAGTTCACGTGAAAGACAAGAAAAGAAGTGAAGGCGGCATCCTGCAAAGCACTCACAGTTGAAGATCCCCGGTGGAGGGTGCTGGGTGACCATGGGGCAGTTCTCCTCATCGCTGTTGTCCCCGCAATTATTGAGCTGGTTGCAGATCAGTGAGCCCAGACGCAAACAATTCCCATTGGTGCAGTGGAACTTGCACTCTGTTCAACCAGAGGGAAGTAATGTGAAAATCAGAGAGAGCCTAACTTGGAGCAACTACCTAGAATCACTTCAAATACATTGTGCTGCACTTGAAAGTGCAGGTCGACAATTGCAAACATTCTAAACATTGCGATTGCAAACATTATAAACATTGCGACAAAAATAGTGTACTGCAGTGGCATTCCAAGGCTGTTAAACTCACCCAGTAAAATTTTGATCGCATGACTGTCAGTGCATGTTTACAGAACCAAACGTAAGAAAGTCATTTCACGAACATGGTCTGTCAGCTCTCGTCTTTCCACAAGTCTGAATGTGCAAGGTCAGGTAATTTGTTTGGACCAGTAAGCTCCAAAAAGACCTCATGTCTGGTGCTTAGTCCACAGATTTACTTTGGAATGGAAGAAATTAAACACGATAGACCAAACTGTCGTTTCATGAAAGACTTTTCTCACTAAATATTTTAATTCAGGACTGAGTGATACATATGACCGAGCATATTTGGAGTGTATGCTGTGAACTTGCCCTTTGATCCGATTGAGTTAATTTGTCCACATGATTTTATGTTTCTTCAAATTCCCTCCAGTCACTCTCATCATTTTCACAAGAACACAGTGAGTGGACAGATGGACATCCCATAATTCCATGGTCATATCTGTCACTAGTAGACATACAGTGTTGAAACCATTGCCCAGGAAGAACTGAAAAATGCATTCACACAGACTGGACACTTTAATAGCAATACACACACACACACACACACACACACACACACACACACACACACACACACACACACACACACACATATATATCAGAATCAGAATCATCTTTATTGGCCAAGTATGTAAAACACACAAAGAATTTGTCCCAAAAATATGTGGAGCTTTAATAAAAGAAGGAGAAGAAAGAAACGGATAAAAAGCCAGACTCCAGCAAGATTTTCACCAATTTTTTTGCACAGTATGTGATTATTTGCAAACACCTTAAATTCCCACCTCGCAGAACCTGCTGCTGTGGTAGACCGAGTGCTGAATATGGATATGCTGAATTTCCTCATTTGGTTGAGTGTAAATGTTACCTGGTTGTCTCAGGGGGAAGCTCACTGAAAAAATGTTTTATCCTTGGCTGGAAATACCATCAAGCAACAACCTGCTCTTGTGTTCTAACGTGGCATGTTTGAGTTGTCCAGTTTTTGAGATTCGAGATTATTGAAAACATTTCCCTTCCTTCTGTCAGGTATTTTAATTTCAATACTGCACTGAAAAAACAGTGTCTTCATAAGCAATTTGTGGACAATTGTGGGCAACTATTTCTGCCCACAAATGCGAGCCCCCTCCCTCAATTATGAAAAGACTACCGGAAAATACCACGAGGTAGAAAGACTGGTAAAAGAAGAAATAAAATAAATGATCCCGAATCATATCCTATCTTGTAAGTACACTGCAGCTGCAAAGTTGATGACGTTTCCACTGTGGTGAATGAGTTGTGCGACATTTTATACAAGCACTCAGCACAACCAGTTGGTCCTCAACTTGTGACCATCCACCATCCATGCTTCAGGTCGCTTTCTAATGGCTAGTTCTGTTCCACGAGTTGTCCACACACACGCACGCACGCACGCACGCACACACACACACACACACACACACACACACACACACACACACACACACACACACACACACACACACACACAAGACTAACATCTCAATAGCAAATAACCCAGAAGCCAGTTTGGTTTCTATTTTCTAAGGTTGCCATATAGCAAACAATCAATTTTGATTCATGCTTGCTGAGCGCTTTAGTTGTTTTTTTTTTTCTTTTTAATGTTTTTAATTTGTCATCGGCCTAGACGTGAGATGGACCAGAATAAAAATAACGTTCTTTTGAAATTCAGCCGCCTCTTGGGGTGGTGCACAACTCGATGGTTTATTTCAGGTAATCCGCACTTAAAAGAGAAGCGGCTCCGGCGAGTTGGAAGTACAAGATGGTCTTCTAACAAGCATTTTGCAGGCCGTCTCCTTGTGGCAGTCCCTGTGATTTGCCCTTTTGGCAGCGAGCAACTTAATGATACTGCATTTTCTCCTCTTCCTCTCACAAGTACAGCTTGTTCTGGTCTAGTCTAGACAGCAGCAGGGGGCGGGGGGGTGGAGAAATGGGTGTCAATTGAAGGAACAGAGATCTGATTGAAAATACAAACCAGCATGACCATTCTTTGGAAAGAGACTTTTCCCCTTTTTTCGAAGTGGCAATTAGCAAAGCCTCAGTGACTTGCCCTGTCTTGCTTTTCCTCACGCTGTCTTATATCTATTAGTCGATTGTCTACTTTGCCATCTCCCTGCCTCCTCTTTCATCCTCATCTGTTCTGCCTGTCCTCTTCTCTTCCACTCTATCATATAACTCGGCAATTTTTTTCCGAGCCACTTGTCTCTCCCTCTTCATCCTACTTTCCATCTATCCTCTCAATTCATGTCGATACTTTCGGCCACGAAAAAGAAGTCGAGCTCTAAAATATTCTACAACATAAAACCCCTCATTTGCACACTCAATTATGCATAGTCCTCTTCTTTGCAAACATACAACATACACACAGGTTCATTGCAGCTGTGTGAAAATGCCAGAAGGACAAACGCACGGCCGGCAAGATGTCAGCAGCAGCTTCTAAGACACTCAAATGTAATGGATAAGAAATGAGCACCCTTAAGTCATTTAAAAAGCAAAGAACAAGGGTATTGCCCAATAAAAACTACTTTAAAGGTCAGTGTGGCAAATCATGAAAGCAAGGGGGGGGGAAAAGAATGCAAATCATTTTGATGCTTTGTGAATCACTCAGACAATTTAAAAAAATGCTTTCACAATTAATGTAATGATTGAGGAAAAAAAGGCACCACCATTAGATTTGAAAATACATTTAACATTTGGGGTGGAAATGAAGAAAAAGGAGTAAAACACTTTCTAAGGACAGGAGATGGGCTCGTGGTCACAACTAATCCGACTAATTCGAACCCGTGGGTACATTTACAACTGAAGATACGAAAGCGACTTTGAACAGTTCCAAATAAAGTTCATCTTCCAGTTTCAGACATTGTCCACAAAGCAAGCACAGCTTAAGGTGGTTCTGCTTTTGGACAATTGAAAAGAATTATGAACAGTTCCAAATGTCAGTCAATTCTGGGATTAAACCTTCACATGTGTTCTAGGAATTTGAAACTTGCTTATCAGCATGACAAATATCCAAAGCACATATACAATTCCAGGCGGCACGGCGGCCGACTGTTCAGCACATCCGCCTCACAGTGGTGCGGGGTTCGACTATGGCTCCGGCCTTCCGATGTGGAGTTTGCGTGTGCCTGCGGGGGTTTTCTCAAGGTACTCAAGTTTCTTCCCACATTCCCAAAGCATGCAAGGCAGGCAAATGGAACACTCTAAATTGTTCCTAGGTGTGATTGGGAGCATGAATGGTTGTTCATATCTGTGTGCCCTGCGATTGGCTGGCAACCGGTTCGGGGTGTCCGCCGCCTGCTCCCCGAAGTTAGCTGGGATAGGTACCAGTACGCCCCGTGACCCTCATGAGGAAAAGCGAAAATGGATGGATGGGTGTAGGATGGATGGATGGATACGCAATTCCAAACAGGTTGACTTGACCGAGCCAGAGCTTGGATAAGATTGAAAATATGTCCAACAACAGTCTGTCAGATTTGGAGCACATTTACAAGGAATAGTGTCATCTATACCCAGTCAAGGTGGGTTATGTTGGTTGATAATGACTGATACACTGAATGAGAAATAAATAAATAAATAAATATCTAAATTTGTTTGTGCGGTCGACTCGCAAATGCAGCCTTTGGAAGTGATTTTGGACACAGCCTTTTTTTCAGTGTATGTCCAACATTAACAACTCAAGATCACTTCTGCTGTGCTCCTCTAACCCTTAGGACACGTGGCTGCCACACTTTCTAACAAGCCTAACCACATCTATTTTTTGTTTTCACAGCCGATATTATTAAAGCAGATCCTCCGAAAGACATACAGCCACACATCGCATATTTTCCATGCTAGATCTCAACTGAGAGCAAGATGAATGCACGGAAAATAGCGTCTTCACAGGCATCTTCAACTTGTCCTTGACTAAGGCAGTTGTACTTGTGAGGTTCCACACTGCCATCAAGCCTTCACCTTCACCCTGGATAAGGCTGTGTGCCACAGCTCCATAAACAAGCTGTGGATTACATCATCGCGGTAAGCTACAAAAAACAGGAGCTGAACTGAACACCCAAAGGCCAAGCAGATCATCGTGGACTAAAAGTTGAGCCAAGCGCGTCCCATCCACATCGATGGAGCTGCGGTGGAGCGTGTCCGTCGCATCCCAGCTTCCAGTTACCCTTCATTGAGGACATTTATCACAAACAATGCTTGAGTAAAGTCAAAAACATTGCCAAAGACGCCTCCCATCCAAATAGGACATGATAGTTTGCACTACTGGACTAAAAATGGTCTTCGTGTGTCTGCCACTTTCCTCAGGGCCGCACTCACATTTCGCACAGTTTACTGTTCACTTTTGCACATTGCTATTGACTTTTGTCAATATGGCACTGTTTATGGTTCTTGGGAGGGATTTATCCACTTGCCTTACCTTAACCCTGCGCACATTTATAAATAACTGTACATCAATTATATTCTGCCACAATATCACCTACTTTATGCTTACCAAGAAATATAATTATTAATACAGGATCTCATAATTATACTCCACACTTGCATTTTTGCTATAAATATTCCGATATGTATGTGTCTGGATTAGATGCAACCGCATTCCGTTGGCTGTATGTCGGTACCAAGCATGATGAAATTAAAGTTGACTATTTAATGCGTGTGCATGAAATGAATGCGAGTGCTGAGCGGAAGAAGAACGTGAGGATATGAAAGAGGGCAGAGGAAGATGAGGACTACAGTACTATAGAGCGGAAAATCAGAGGAAGACAGAAAAAAGAATGACTGT